AGCATAATATGCTTTGTTGACTGAGCCTTTCAGAAGGTTCTTGCTCTAGGAACTCCAAACTCACTACTGTCTGAAAATAAAAACCAGCCTTTGGCTCAGTTGCTTCTGAATCTTATACATTTGACATCAAACATTAGGCACCTTGTGTAAACTACCATGTAAGACCACCATGATCTGGAAATCCAAGTAACGTCACACACCCCAGGAGATCCAGTTGGCTAAATGTCACATCTGTGCCCAGGCCAAGCTCCCAGAAAACCAGGCACACATTTCCATGGTTCATAAAGCTCACTTTGAGAGTCTGTGTGATAGCAGGTCTGGGCTTGCAGCTCCAGAGGGTACAAATAAAGTGGAAACTGGCTTTAAAAGAAAAGCTTCCAAATTGTCCCATGAAACATTTGTCATATCCCAGATGGCTGCAGCCATGAATTTTTCTCAGTAGCATATTGAAACCAATCTAGTAAATGACAATGACAGACTAACAATAATAATAAACTAATGAAAAGCATGTGTCCCATGAAGAAGTGACAACTGATAAAAGCAGACAATTTTGCAGATGTCTGAGGAAGTGAAAATTGTAACACAGTTTTAATTTAAGAAAGAAGTAATACTTTTAGTTACAGGATTCCACAGAGATGCATTTGGAGTAATATTTTTTGATGCCCAGAAGAGCAGATTGTCCTGTGCTGCATCTCCAGCACGGCTCCATTCAAGGGAGAGAAGCCAATTCAGAGCACACTTACAGTGCTGAACAGGCAGTCAGAAGTTAACAGTAGATAAATCACTGTTGGTAAATACCAGTTTGTGCTCTCGGTTGCCGGCTGCAGGTGGTTTTCCTAACCTCTCTTCCATTCACATTAGAAAGAACAGATTTGATCCTTTTAATTCCAATAGAACTGTAATTTACTGGGAATGGAGGGCACACAGCGCTTCTCAGCAGGGCTTCCCTTCTTCATCACAGCAGTACCTCTGTCTGCATCATCTTGTCCAGGAAGAATATAAGGCTCAGCTAACCTTGCAGGCAACATTTGCAGGATAACTGTGTGGCTCCAGGGTTTGTCAGACATGTACTGAAACATTGCAAAATGTGGCACACTGAAAAATGCTTTCCTAAATATGCAATTGTAGTGATGACAGCTTCCTAGAGACATATTTTACAACATTACGATGTCTTTGTGCTGTCTACCAATCTTTTATGTGCAGCTAAACAAATTGTGATGGAAGAGGTTTAAGTATTCATTGGAGAATAGGTCATTATAAGCACATCCATATTTATGATCAAGATCTATAGGACTGCATTGTTTCTGGCTGCATAGCTATTATTCATCTGTAATTGCAAAAATAAAGCCTGCCGGTTTTGCATTTCAGTTACCAAACGTAATGGAGCAACTAATCTGATTTACCTTTTAACAGCTGGGAACTCTGGAGTTGCATTAAATACTTTCTGTTAAATGCCTTTCTATTGAAAACATTTTTTCATGACAGTGACTTTTTCTGAGGATCACTGACAGAATATGAATTTTGAATAGTTTTTTCAAACACAAATTTATGCTCAGTGTGCTGTCCGAGAGTTTAAAATCTTTAAAATCTTCTGATTTAATGCATAAGTAAATGTTCAATATGAATAGAAAGCATATGTAATTATTTGTAACCTGATAATCTCTATATTATTCAAAATGCTTCAGTAGTTAAGCCAAAAAGTAGAAATATAAATCCTGCTTTAGGATTTTAAATTCATAATCTATTTCTATTTTCTTCAGGTGCATAGTACCTTATAGCCATAGACTAAACTGCTTCTGAGTCCTGGAGAGATCTAACAACCCAAGTGTTTAGGTTTATGTCAGCTAATTTTGACGTTAGGGTTATGTACTCTCAGATAGTTGAGAACAGATAAGTTTGTGTTTTGTGAGAATTCTAATTGATTTAACTTTCTACTTTAAATGTCAGAAATAAATCTGGAGGGAACTGATAAATGTAACATAAAAGGCTTATCTTCATGCTCAACCCTTGCTTTCACATTAAACTATTAGATATAATGAAGCTGTATGCCTCTTAGCATCCAGAGAGCTACAGAACGTGGATCACATATAATATTTCTGCTGCTTATTTCATGTGCCGAGTGGTGAAATAAGTGTCAGGCATTCATATATATGTGTGCGTATAGGCTATTAATGTGTACATGTGTATTAATAATCATTAGACTTAAATACTATTTCAAATAATATCCATGAAATATAACTGGTAGTATTTGTTAATGTTAACTAAAGGCCAGCTTTATGAAATACTGAGATTTAGATCATGTGATGCCTTTAAAAATGCATGACTGCAACTAATTGCTGTATATGCACGCGGTGTTAAATCTACGAGGGTGACAAAAGCAGCACTATTGAGAAAATTTTTGAAATCTTCAGCATTTAGTTGGTGGAGTAATCAGTTTCTAGCTAGAAATTACGACACTTCCTGACAGATTAGAAACATCCTTAATTTGGAAGGACTGAAAAATAGAGCAGAGGGTTATTCCATGTAGGCTGCTTTGTGGCTGCTAATCTTTTAGAGGGGACATTGAACCTTCAAAAACATCTAAAGCAGACAATGTAATTGAGAGGAAACGGCAACCAGCTCTCTAAAGCCTGTGATCTTGGGCTAAGTTTCATCTGCCATGCAATTGAAGAGGAATTTCTTTGGGCCACTGAGTTTGTGAGACAAGCACTGATACTTGGAATCAGCCAGAAAATGTCATCAGTACCCTGGAAAACATGGCAGATGACTGGTTTTAAGTGGTATCAAAGAAAAGGCCACTCTCTGTCCTTCTTTTGAAATCTTGCAAGGTATCCTTTCAAGAGTACTGTTCTGTTCAGGAGTAACTGTGCCTTACAATGAATAAAATCCAGAAAAAAAAGGGAAACCACATACCATATAACAGCTATCTCATATTTCCTCTGAGACAGAGAGTCCCAGGAGAGGGACTTCTGCAACAATATAGACTCATACAAAATAAATTTCCATAGAGAAAGGGAAAATCTACCAGTTCTCCTCTGCCAAGTTTGAGCAATTACTGTTTGGAAGCTCCCAGAGGTTGTGCAATAAAGAACCCTGAGAAAGAGACTCTTAAGGCTAGAGCCAGAGGAATTCCTCATATTGAAAAAAAATGTTGTGTGGAAAGTCCCTCCAGTGATGGAACTGGAAAGACTGATCTTTAGTGGAGAACTGGGGCTGAACTGCACTGATATGGTAAAACCCTTCCCATTTATTCAAGTTCAAACAAGTTCCCAGATGGAGTCCATCAAATTGGAGAGTGGATACACTTCAGAAGAAGGTGAGAGGTTGTGAGACTTATAATTTTCTTTCCTGAAATTTTTGAAGACTATTTTTTCCCCAAGGAACTCATTTACTGCCTTTTATTAGTTGATAAAGTTTGAAACAAAAATGCACCAGAGAAAAATAATGGGAAGATGGTAAACTGTGAAAAAAAAAAAAATCTCAAGGTAAACTACATCTGCTGGTTTCCTTTCTTTTCAGGCTTCCAGAGTGGTGTTGGGATGAGTTTTGGATTTGCTCATTCTGCCAGTGTGATCACTTGCTTACCTTTGAAAAGAGATTTGCACATGTTCTTGGAAAAGACACTTCTCAAAACAGTCACGAACAACTGTTTTCTCCATGGTATTGCTATTGCATGTGCATGCACACAACACACAGTCCCTGAGTAATCTCTAGTGCCCATCTGTTTGGAAGATGATTATCTGCCACTTTGATACTGTCTGCTTGTGTGCTTTGCTCTATGTTTGTGCTTATGGAAAATGCACAGCACTGATGAACACAGTGTTCTGTTTATCTGCACGACACAACCAAGTTAAGCAAGAAGAGGGGATTCCTCATTGTGTTCTGGTAATACAGTGGAAAACCTAGGAAAAACTGACAATGTAGAGACTAACCCCTAAACTGACAAGCAGCCTGGAAGCTCCCATGAGGGCCCAGAGCAGTGCCACCTGCAGTGCAGTGCGTATACTATTATAAAGAGGCATATGTGTGTGTAAACAGATCAAGGTGTGTGTAACTAGCCATCCGCAGCTAGGGATTACCTACTGGATGCCAGGATTGAGATTTGAATACCTCAGCACAGTCATTTAGTCTAATCTGAAACACTCTGCAATATCCTGATTTCCAGATATGATTGGCAGAAGGACAAGTGTCGTCTGGACACTCAACGCCCTTCTGGGCCTGCAGCTAGAGATCAGGTAGGAAACCTGTGACCATATAAACCAACATGTTTAGTTGACTGAATTCTTCAGACTGACTGTAAGAAAGACTGATTATGACAGTAATTATGACACTACCAAGTAAGCCTTATAAAACTCAGTGATATTTCTCTAGCAAGTACAGATTTTTGTCTTCCACCTTCTAATTTATGACATTGCATTCTCTGTTGCTGCACTCTGCATTCAAAAGAACAAACAGACCAACTTGCATTTAAATACTATTTCTGAAAAGATCCCTATAGGAGACTGAGAGGAATAATGAAGGCTTGTCTGCAATTGATTATTTTGTCCAAGACAATTCCAAGTCCAGACAGAAAAGGAAAGCGAATAATACTAGGAGAAATTCCTTGGGACAAAGGTTTTAAACCTTTGCCAACAATAAAAAACCCAAGAAAGGAAATACAAAAGTTCAGATCACAATGTTTTAAATTAAGTATTCAATGACAGACCTGCAGATTACTGGTAAATTACCATATCCATAAAAATTGGCGTGGCTTGGAAACTTTTTAATTTTAAAATGATTGTACCGTGGAAGCCTATCAGAATGAGGCATGTGTCCTTGTTGCTACTGAGTATGAAGGACCAGTGTGTCATCTCAGCCCTGCCACCTTTGCTCCGGTGAAGACAGCTTTGAGAATTCCACCTGCCAGGGCTATGTGAAGGTGAGGAACTCCCTCTGTGACTTACCTACTTACCAGTTACTACTTTATAAATTCTAATTAAGGTTTTGTGACCTGAGATTTATTCAGAAGTGCTTAGCTAAGGAAATAAGGTCTCAGTGAGGGTGTGAGTTGAGCTATGGCTGTGGTGACAGCTATGTAACTCGTAGTGTTCTTTATTCTATCAGCAATGTGCAGACACTTCTTTCACATAGCTTCTGACATTATAATGCAATACAAGTTGCAAAAGCAAATAAAGTTTTTGAAGTGCTTCAAAGTCTGAAGAGTTGTCCAGGAGAATTGAATTGTAATTCTGTTTTTCTGAGAAGAGTTTGCCACACTCTATTTCTTCAGAATAGTCTCAGGAGCCACAGCGTCTGTCACGCCTGAATCTGCAGTGTTCATGGAGTCCAAATGTTTGCTGAAAATTTTCACAAGCTTGTGTTGGTGATGCCAATGAAGTGGGCAACACTCATCATTCACTCTAGAAGAATAACCATTGGTTTGTTGTCAGTGATGCAAACTGTGGCACTGCAGAATGAGGAAGGGATACCAAGTGTAGTCTTACGATACTGTTCATATCTTTAAAAGTCATTACAGCCATGATGGGAAACCCTAGAAGAGGTACAGAATGTCATCAGAGAGGAGGAGTCACTGTAAGTGCTACATGCCAAACAATCCCACATTTCCTCCCCAGCTGTTCAAACCACCTGGAGGTTCCCATGCAGAATAGCAAGATTTACTGGAAGTCTGTGGTCACATCTCCCAAGAAAATTACAATTTTTCATCTCTGAAAAAATCCCATAGATAAGTTTTAGAGAATATCAATTCTCAGATCTTCTTTTCCTACAGTGTTACAAGAGTATATCTGAAAATTTATCACTTTGCAGACAGAAGATAAAAGAGGATTCCAGCCACCACTTTAACAACATCTGTTTAAGTTCAGGAATAGTGGACTTAAATAGATTAGTTATGATCTCCCGTCCCTCCCAATAGGATAACTTGCTTTCAGAATTCCCAAACATTAACTCTACTGGACTCCTAAGAGAAATCTAGGGGGTTTTTACTGAGATATCTTTAAATTTGACCTTCTTTTAAAACCAACTGTAACAGGACCACCCCAGCTTTCTGTGTGGGAGCTGGAAAAAAAAAAAAAAGAATCTTTCTACCAGAGCTGTAGAGTTTAGGATGTGGTAAACTGGACACATCAGAGACTAGTGCTTGCGCTTTCAGCTCTGAATAACAAAAATATGCTTAAAATTAGGATTCAAAGCCTGTACTTAAGGCCTACAGAGATTATGAGATTGCAGAACTAGGTGCTACTGCATCTTGACACTGTGTGAAGATCAAAGCCAATTACTTCAGCAACTAAACAGAGATAAGGAAGTTCAGGTTTTGGCATGTCCTTCTGAAAAATCTTGGCCTAAGTATAATTGAAAAAAATGTGGCCTTGTAACATGGAAGTCCTTGCACATGGGAATATTGTTTTCCACATGCAAACAATGTATGTACACAGACTGGTGTTTATGTGTCTAATTACTTGATCAATAAAGAGATTTTTTTTTTTAATTTTTTTTTTTGGTCAGAGCATCAGTAAATTTCATCCAAGCATTTATTAACCTAAGTATTATGTATTAGACACCAGAGATAATTTTTTTCACTCTTTTTGGCACTAGTCATCTCTCAGTCAAAGCTCTATATCCCGTTTCCAAGCCTACACTTCTATGAAGTGGACAAATTGTAGATAATACACAGAAGGAGAACAAAAATGATAACAGTCTTGAAAAACATGAACTTTGAAGGAAGGTTTAACTGGCAGAGTTTGTTTAGTCTAGAGGAGTAGAGCCTACAGGTGACATGATAACTGCTCTCTGATGTGTATAAAGCTATTATGAAGAGGTGAGTGACAAATTGTTCTGTGAACATTTGGCAGCTGGACAAGCAACAACTGACCTTTCAGCAAAGAAGATTCAGGTGAGATTTTAGGAAAATGTATTTTACAAGCACAATTAAGCATTGCAACATGCTACTGAAAGCGACAGTGAAATCTCCTCATGCAGATTTCATGACAAACAGCTGTTGGGAATGGTCTTGGCAAGCAGGAAACTTGGCATCCAAATGAAGGGATTGTCTAAACGGCCTTTGAAGTCCTATTCCGGTTTACTTTCCTGTGCCTGTAAATTTTCTTTCTGCATGTCTTTTGTTTGCACACTGTAAGAAATATTATAATTTTAAAGCTGTTGATTTGAAAGTGTGTCTATGGATAGCTTCAACTTTGATGTGTTCAACCTGTGCCGTGTTTCCTCAGCTGATATTGAAATCATGAGTGGACAAGGTGACCTGACAGGAGCTTCTTAGTGTCCTAACAAGCCTCGGAGCATTTCTTGAAGGCCCCAGAGCCACCAGAGCTCTTAAAGCCAGGTGCCAACGAGTCTTTTAAGGCAGTTTAAAGAAGTTTTTTTAAGCCATCCTCTGCTTTATTGTGTGTTCCCTATGGCCTAGTGTAACAGAATGCAGGGTCTCCGCACTGCAATTCCTCCATAAAACCAACAGAGCTACTGAAGGTTTTGCTATACCAAAAGAAAGCCCAAAAGTTTCATTTCTGCTTCTAGGAGAGTGTGATTTGAGAACGATGGGAGGACACACACACACTCAAATGCATAATGCTGTAGGGGTTTTTAACCTCCTTTAGGTTTCAATGGCTCTATGACTTGCTAACAACAAAGTACTAATGGAAATTGTTGCTTTCTGCTCTTTAGCTTGGGAATAATGGAGGAGGATCAGCACTTATGTTGCTCTGCCACTGTAAATGATTCTCTGAGGCTCTGAAAAGGTCAGTGACAAACAAATGCTGCTGGTTTGGTTTCACTTGAAGCTTCTGCAGAATTTGAACAGTATAAGTCAGCAAAACAACATATGTTTTTGATGAAAAATATTTTGCTCCTAAAGTTTTTAAGAAGAAAAATGACCCATTCAGGAAAATTTTCTGACATTTCTATGTCTTTGAAAATTTTACTGGAAAAATATTCTGATTTTCTCGGTTTATTGTTCTGTGAGTGTTACTTTATCATTTCCTCCTCCTGTTTCCCTTTTCCCTCATGTTGTCATAGGCTTTTCAGACCCTGTAGTGCCACGGGAATGGCTGGTGTGAGACCACATGTGCACATAGGCAGTGCTTACAAGGATGTCACTTGATCCACTTAGTCCTTTAACTGGTGGGTTGTGTGTTTGGTTTTTTTTAACCTTTGAAAACCTCTCTTTCATCTTGTTTCTGTTACTACTCCTGGTGTAGAACTCAATCTTGTGTTTTTCTGGCTGTGTTCTACTGGAGGATGACTAGCCAAGGAAAATGTATCTTTTTCTCCAGTGGATTTTATTTCCCTTGATGACAGCACCTCCATCTCAGTCGTCCTGGATCTGATCTTGGCTTTGTCATTCTCTGACTGTCTAACAGCTGTGTTAATGTTTACCTCCATTAAATCTTCGGTTACCTGGAATGACACATGACAATTGCACTGTGCCATTTCTCTGTAGCTGTATGAGACAGGATTCAGAAACACAATCTGTGCGTTAAATTCAGACATGAGTCACCTACATCAACCTAACTTTTGGTAGACAACGCAGTAACTGATCACAGCCAGCATGGCTTCATGAGAGGAAAGTCCTGCTTATCAAACTTGATTTCCTTTTATGACAAGGTAGCCCACCTAGTTAATCAAGGGGAGTCAGTTGATGTAATATTTTTGGATTTCAGTAAAGCTTTCCATACTGTATCTCACAGTGTCATCCTGGACAAAATGTCCAGCCCACAGCTGGATAAACACATTATGGGGTGAGTGAGCAATTGGCTCACAGGTCAAGGACAGAGGGTAATAGTGACTGGGGGAACATCAGAGTGGTGACCTCTCACTAGTGGGGTTCCACTGGGCTCCATCCTAGACCCTATGCTCTTCAAAATCTTCATAAATTACTTGAATGTAGGACTGGAAGGGATACTGAGCAAGTTTGCAGGTGACACAAAACTGGAAGGAGCTGTTGACTCCCCTGAAGGCAGAGAGGCCCTTCAGAGAGACCTCCACAAATGAGAGGACTGGGCAATCACCAACCATAGGAAGTTCAACAAGGGGAAGTGTTGGATTCTGCACCTGGGATGGGGTATCCCTGGAGGCATCAAGTAAAGCATCAGCAGCAGGTCAAGGGAGGGGATTGTCCCACTCTGCTTTGCACTGGGGGAGCCTCAGCTTGAATACTGTGTGAAGTTTTGGGCACCACAATACAAGAAAGATACTAAGCTCTCAGAGAGTGTCCAAAGGAGGGTAACAACGATGGTGAAGGGCCTTGAGGGGAAGCCGTGTCAGGAGTAGCTGAGGGTACTTGGTCAGTTCAGAAGAGGAGAATGAAGGGAGACCTCATTGCAATTACAACTTCCTTTTGAGGGGAAGAAGAGGGGTAGACACTGATCTCTTCTCTGTGGTGACCAGTGACAGGATCTGAGGGAATGGCCTGAAGTTGTGTCAGGGTGGGTTTAGACTGGGTATTGTAAAAAGGTTCTTCACTTAGATGGTGGTTGGGTGCTGGAACAGGCTCTCCAGGGAGGTGGTCACAGCACAGCACCAAGTCTGACAGAGCTCAAGAAGGATTTGGACTATACTTGCAGGCATTGTTGTGTAATGTGTGTCACTGTTGAGGATGGTCCTATGCAGGGCCAGGAGTTGGACTCAATGATCCTTGTGGGTCCCTTCCAACTCAGCATATTCTGTGACTCTGTGATATCTACTGTCGGTCATTGCTCTTTGAAACCTCACTAGCAGGTACTTAGGAGAGTGCATAGCAATACAGAAAAGATTTTTTTTTTGTTTGTTTTGCAGTTTGCCTTTACTGTCAGACTTTTTTACTATGGTTTCTTCTTTCCCCTAGCTTTGTTACCCTTGTTTTGTGCTGAAATTCCCACTTGGCACTAGTGGCCTTAGTTTTTCTGTGTTGTTCTGTGGCCTCTTGCTGTTACACAATAAGGTTACGAAGCTTGGTCTCAGTTTCCTGGCCACAGCTGATTCCTGCACATTGCCAGCAGACCACTTTTCCGAATCAGAGCTGTAATCCACTGTAGCAATATTGCTTGCTGACACAGAGAGAGAGTATTCAAATTCTCATAATGTATTTTCTCACAGTATCTGTCTGGGATTTCAGAAACCTCTCAAATCTTTGCTTTTACTGAAAAACCTCTTTGTTAATGCATGACATGTATGTGGTTTGCTTCAGGCTGAGTATTCAGGACTACCAAGTATGCACATTCCTCTATTTTATGATGTCAAATCTTAAATTTGGTGAGATTACTGCTAAGCCACCATGAAATGAAATCCTGTCTTGCACATAAATCCTGGCACCATCCAATATGGGGTGAAACATAATGTCTCTGAGTAGGTTTTCTTGTAAGATATCCAGGTTCAGACTTGGAATTGTTGCAGTTTATAGAGACTTGTTCTGGAAAGAGCAAGGTTACCCTAAAGCATTAGGCAGCAGTAGCTCTCAAAGGCACAAATCTCAATTCCTCTTCTGGCTGCATAGTCTACATAAAATGTGCATGCCTGAAGATGCTCGTGGTTGACTTTTATAAGTACTTTATAAAACTTATGCCATCCATCCAAAAGTGAGTAGAGGGGATCTCTCCATTCTGAATATCACAATGGATATCCTTATCCCAATGTCTCTCTGAGTGTACCTTCTTTCTCTGTTGATGGATGCTGTAGGCTGACTTTACATAGCCACTGACTCTTTTTGAGGCATTACATTTTCATTCAAGCTGTTCTATAAGGCTGTGATGTTTTATGGCAAATGCTTTCCTTTTGATCAGCTTTACTCTTCCAAGTGTCTGTTCTTTGGTCTACAACTTTCTCTATATTTCTTCACTTTGTTTTAAATGTCTGAAGGCACCTGCACTTTTGATAAATGTGCACCAAGTCCATGTATTTAGCTGCTCCTGCTGGTTGCTGGATTTGCTTCACAGTTTCTCACCCAGGCTTTTCCCAGTTGCTTGTGTCTTTCAGAATTTCCTCAGTCTTGAGCCTTGGTGACCTCGGTCCTGGTGGACTCCAACTCATCATTCTTTATCCTGCGATTCACTCGCTGGTAGCTGGTTTGTCATAGCTGGATGCCATGATCTCCACTTGCCACAACATCACTTGATACATAACAGGCCAACTGCAAAGTCTAACTGTTTCCCATAGTCTGTGCAATGTTTTCTCATTCTTTCACTCTTCTTCTGGAAGAGCCCTTGATAGTATCTGGATTTTCAGTAGGTATAACTATCTGTCTGGATTGCTGGCCCGGAGTCTGTGCATGACTCTTTACTGTCAACATTATGTCCCTTAGCTTATTTTGGTTTACCTGCCCTTGCAAGTTGTATGTATTTTCCCAAGAGCTAGATCTGCTTGCTTCCCCACTCTCTAGTTAAATAGATTGTGTCCTGTCTCTTTAAAGTGAGGGGTTTATAACTAATTTTTGCAGCACTTTACTAGGTATAACCATAGTAAGCATTTTCTTCCTCTTTAAGAACAAATAAGTCTTTAATTTCATTCTCTCTCTCTCAGGACTGAAGTTGAACAATGAATTTAATTACTGAAATGCTGCAGCCTTGATGGGCTTTTTTCCCTATGCACACGGATTCCCCATATCTTCAAACTCTCTCCTCCTAAGACACCTACTGCTTTCCCCAGTTTCTTTGTAGGGGAGTAACCTGTCCTCTTCACTTTCTGCCAATGACTTCTCTAGTGTATGTAAAATAACCATATCCAAAGGAAGGCTATGTGCATATATAACCTACTGCATCAGGATTATACAAGTCTCCTGTGGGAAGTGAAGAGTCAAAGTTGCACTGAGCTCTGAATTATTGCTTCATTTGAGCATGATAATGCCCATCTTCTCTCTGGCAAGTCCATCTTTCCTTCAGAACTCAATGTATACTCCCACCCACTCTCTGGTCCCTCAAAAGGTGTCCCTGTGCACCTATTTCCTTTTTTTTTTTTTTTTTTATTTCCCTTTCAAATCTCAGTGATGAGAATGAAAACAAAATCTTTTTTTTTTAAAGGAAGTGTTACCCAACAGCTTCTCAAGGGGATCACTTGGGCTTGAGTTTGTCTCATTTCATCTGCAACTGAAGCCTAGAAAACTACTGTGACTTCAGATGTCACTTGAGATTATGCTTAAATCTGAGCACAAATTTAAATGCCTCCTCAGAAAGTCACTCCAGCTTTACATGAGGCAGGTGTCTACTGCCTGAGTAGAAGAGTCACATGTTTAAGAAAAATATGCAGGGATGCCTACACGCCTCTAAAACAATTTCATGCAGCAGGTTCCAGAACCCAAGTGAGGAACCCTTATAGTCAGGACTCCAGATAGTTGAGGGGATTTCCCACAAAACACTTTCAGAGCCTACATAACCAGCAGAATATTTTTTTCTGCCTTTATGTCTCACGACAGTGCGTTCCCAAGAATGGTTTCAGACCCAAATGGTGAACAGACCCAAAGAATGAGGCACAGTATGCACTTGATGCTTCTTTGCTGATTGTAGACATAGGAATGCATGTTGATACTTTGGAAACTGCCAAGCATGCTTCCTAACCTGAATTGCTTCCTGATTCTTATGTGATCAGAAACGAGTAAGCAGATCTTCTCTGCTGGTACTCCAGTGGCATTTAAATCACTGAAACTGCACAGGATGGTTTAAATTATCTCTGAACAACAGAGCCTATTCAGACTTTTGGTGAATTTACTAAATACTTTTGGTCTGGTTATAAGTAGCCTATATTTGTAAATGAGTTGATTTTCCCGCCATTTTTGAAATGTTAATAACTGAAAATACTTTGTAAGTGTATTTTACTACAGGGTTGTGGGAGTTTTATTCCAATAATGAAGTGTTCATTAAATATTTTTACTAAAATTGTTTACCTTATTTTACATTCATGCTAATTAAATAAAATCTCAGAATCATCATCTTCTAAAGAAGCATACTGTGGTGGAACAAAGTCTGGCATTATTCTGGACAGAATATGAATTCCTGGCTCGACTTGGTGTACTTCTGTTGCTCAACAGGCTGCTGTGTTACTGCCTGTTCTGATGCAGTGGTATTAAAACTAAGAAATTGGAAGACTTTCTTGAATTATGGGTTTATTTCCTTATCCAGCCCCTCTCTCAGCTGAAGTGTAAGAAATGTGTACCATATGTTAGAGATAAATGAGATCCTGTTTTTCAACATGGGTATTTCACACTGATAACGCCAATGTCTTATTGAAGTAAACTGACTGGTGTGAAAGGCGGTTGACAATGTGATTGTTTAATACATGAAATCTTAAAAGCCAAGAGTAAACAGAGAAATAAAGGATATATACACCCAGTGGGTAATTCCTTATGCAAACTGCCAGTTTGTCACTAGAGTAATTGCTTTTTTGGGAAATTATTTGGGTAATTTTAACTGAAGTGCAAATGAAACAGTTTCTAAAATACATTTTTCCTGATGTTTTTGTCCTCTTCCCAAAGATGTAGCTGGCTGTACAGTTGCTGTCCTTTGCCCCAAAGCTGGCTCTATTTCTGCTGTTGTTGGTTATATTTGGAGAGCGCAGGGCCTGGAGGACTTTAGATTTGTTGGGACAGCTAGTTAGTATAGCAATGAAAAAAACAAATAACAATTGTCCTCCTTTTAAGTCTCTCATTAGAAAAATATATTGTGTCTGTTGTGAGTGCAGGAAGATGAATGAGAGCCCACATGGAGGTTGCAGTGGATATAAAATAGAGCCCCAGAAGATCTGAGAGAACCAACCAAAATGTCAAAAGTATTTTATATCATTTGTAATTTCACTGAGTTAGAAATATATTCTAGACCACTAGAACACCCATTGCTTTCTGCCATGCTTTCAGCCTGGAAATCATTACCTACACAGTGAGGGACTCTCAGAAGCTCCTGAAGAGCTTCCAGTTTCTCTTTTACTTTTCCTTCATTTGCTGCTGCTGGACTGAGAAGACAATCTTTCAAACTGCAGGTTTCATCACTCCTATTGTAACCACAGTGGGGGGTTGTTAGTGTTTGGCACTACTGAAATCATCAGTCTGTTTGAGAAGAGCACTTTGGAGCACTTTGCAGCTGTGGGCAGAAAGCAGCTGGTGCTGCTGCAG